TGTGTTTTTAAAAGGAGCGAATGACTCTTGGAAACGGGAAAGCACGTGAAATTGTCTAGTGACAGAACCACTTAAAACCATCAGAAAGTCAGGAGCGCAGAATGAAGACACCCCAGGCTTTAAGACAGTGACATGCAGGCTGCAGTAGAGGGTGCAATAGTCTAGGGGTTAGGGCACTTGGGTCAACACTAATCAGGGTTTGGAAAAGCACCAATGCTTGGTCTAAATCCGTGTTGATCCGGGTTTGGAAAAGTACTGGTGCTGTTGGCCTTGAGCCCAACTACCATTCAAGGCTGCCCCGCTGATTTTTTCTTGCTGCCTGTGGCAATCCCAGCTTCCCAGGAGTTTGAGGAAGGCAGATTGAGGATGCTTGGGGATTTGGGGCTGTGGTTGTGTACGAGGCAGGTGTCTGCACCAGGCCTGGGCCAGGCCACCACCAGGTGACAGGTCCGTGAGCCCTGGCTGGCCTGGGCCCTGGCTCACCAGCCTCGGGCCCACTGTGGTGTGGCTGGCTTTGCACCGCTGAGGCCCATGCTTGCCACCGAATTCCAGCCCACCTGGGGCTGCTGATCCGTAGCTCTGGGACAGAGCCCAGCTTCATTCCTTGCTCTGAAAAAATGCATCTCACTGTAGTTAGGAGAAAGGGGTCAGGGCCACTCTGGCTACTTCAGCATGACAAGGGGTGTTGAAAGTGGAAAAGGTCCTTCCATAGGGACCCATTTAAGGGCCCCCAGGAGAAGGGGAGTTCGGTTTTGGAGCCCATCTGTGTGGCCATTGATAGTTTGGGCATCTCACACGTCAGGGCAGTCCAGAGGTCCATGTTGGCAGGTACCTGGACGAGGCATGCGTATGGCAGGGATCATGCTAAGACATCAGTGAACAAGACAGCAAAGCATTGCTTTCTAAAAGCAATTAGCACAGGAGCACTCAGTATTATCAGTCAGTCCCTGAAAACCATGAACAGGTAACTTACTCAAGCTTAGGTGGGGTGTAACATGGCACTAATGTGTGAGTGGAGGCCGTTTAAGACTTTGGAAACATTAGCAACGCTGTTAGGAACATACACATAATTTAGTTCTAGATTGTCTTTTAAGTATTCTCTTGAGCTGTAGTTAAGATAGCTAACGAGGTCTGATTTTTGTATAACGGCTTTTTCACTGGTGTTACCTCGTTGGTAGAGGGATCCCTTTAGTGTGTCTGGTAGCTGTGGACAGCAGGCTGTGTCCTGCTCCGAATCACTCTGTGATGTATAGAAGGGCACTTTTCAGGCTGTGCCTGCACCTGAGTTGCTGCATTGGGAAGGCAGTAGTTTGCCATGAGCCACTCCAGTTTTAGTACAAGCTCCAAGGTGGGATGACTTCATACCTTGTTTGTAAAAGTAAACAACCATTATCTGCCCAGCTCCACCACAAAGCACAAATCCATAAATAATTTATATGTGTCAACTTATCAATCAAAATCAAGGAATACCTAGATACATGGGCATTCCAAATCATGTCAAGAACAGCAGACACGGGAACTTGGCAAGCGTATCAGGTGAGAATTGAGACCATAAAATGGGGAGTTACCCAGACTGGAGGCAGTGCCCCTTGACTTCGCTCATCAGGAGCCTTGTCCAGGAGAATCTGCAACAAACCTCCAGTTACCTGTCCCCATTGAGAGTCAGCCACACGTGGTTCCTCCTGCCTGCGATGACCACACAAGGCCCACTCCAAGACGACACCTCAGGCTAACACTCTGAACCGAAACACATCTGTCCACCCCAACCCTCTGCTTTGACACCTTTGTGGAATGGTCGGTTAAAGTCCTTATCTGACCACCTATAGTGACTCTTGGACTCTTTGCCTTCATATCTCTGCCTGTGCTCCTGGCTCAGCATCCTGTGGTCCCGGGGCCACGCTAACCCTTTCTTGGTCTTTCTGTGACCTGCTTAAGTTTCATTGTGTAAAGTGTATGTGACTTGAATGTTACAGATATTAGAAATTAAGATAGGAGTAGAGAACTTGGTTTGCCCACCAGTGACTACCAGATGACCCACAAGTATTGAGTGAATGACCACTAATGAAAGTGGTGAAGCCTGTGAATTTGTTATTATTCAGTAAATTCTGGCGTTGTGGAAAGAAGGGCCCTCATGGCAAGGGCTCCTTGGAGAAGTTGGTTAGAGCTCCCATGTGTCACATTACATCTTTTACAGCGCTGAATAATACCAGTGAAGAACACAAGGAGGTAGGAAGATCTGTAGTCTCAGCTGACTTAGAACAAACTTGTGACTGAGGCGGAGCCTTTGGTGATGGTTCTCAGGCCTCCTGTGTCACAACCCTCCCGACTTACCTTTGAGAGAACTAACACAAGCATACATCTCAATTATATTAAAAGAGCCCTTTGTCTTCCTTATTGAGTGGGATTGCAATCCTTCTAGAAGGTCCAGAGCAAACTTGATCCTTCTGGATCCTTCCAGGTGGGAAGCTTAGCGGGTAGCTGGATCCTTCAGGAAGGTCTGGGAGGGAGTGGGGGGAGGCCGGTTCACCCCTCACTTTCTCAGCCCCCGAGGCTGCCTGCCTGTCTTGGTCCACCACGCCACACTTCTTCAAATTCACGATGGCATCTGCTCTCTGCTTCCTCAGTCACATCTCCTCTGACTCTCCTGCACCCTTTTGCCTTGTGAGAACCTCTGTGGCTACCCTGGGCCCCCTGGGAAAACCCAGGCACTTTCCTCATCCCAGGGTCCTTACCTCAACATCTACAAGGTCCCCTCTTTCCACAGGTCACATGCCCCAGGTTCTCATAGTTGGTCTTGTGGCATGTTTTAGTTGGATTTTTCGCTGCTGTGACTAAAGGACTCAACCAGAACAACTGTAAAGGAGGAAAGGTTTATTTAGGGCCTCACGGTTCCAGAGGGCTTAGTCCATGGAAGGCTGGCTCCATTTGTGGCTCCAGGTGGGGCTGAACATCATGGCGGAAGAGTGGGTGGTGGAGGGAAGCAGTTCACATAATGAACAGGAAGTGGGGGGGGAGGGAGAGAGAGACAGAGACAGAGACAGAGAAAGAGAGAGAGAGAGACACTGACTCTGCTGGTCAGATACAAATATGTATGTTAAAGCCACGCCCCCCAATGCCCACCTCCTCCAGCCACAGCCTGCCACTTCAGTGACCACTCAGTTAATCCCATCAGGGGATTGATTCACTGACTGGGTTAAGGCTGTCACAATGTGATCATTTCTCTTCCGAGCCGTCTTTGTCTCACATGCGGGCCTTTGGGGACACCTCACATCCACACCATCACAGGCAGTTGTCAGTGGTCCCCATCAGGTGCATTGGTGGTGCCCCTGGAGGTGGCCACGGGGGTCCTGTGGTTAGAGATGTCTCTGTGACATGGAAGTCATGGGGAGATGTGTGGATTTTTTTTTTTCTGAGCATAATAAACTTTCAGTTTTTCTTTAAGAGACTTTATTAAATGTTTACATTTCTTTGTGATGTTTTGAGGGTATCTACTGGTGTTTCTTCTCAATGCACACCCCTCAGTCTACTGTCTTCACTCCATGGTGGCCTGAACTTTAACAGGGAGGCAGGGAGAACCCTCCTTAGCAAAACAGCAGGGGGAGGGAGAGAAGGTGCTGCTGGCAGAGAACCTTCTGGTGCACCCCTCCTTCCAACAGTGAGGAAGCCAGCAGTCCTCGTAGGGAGAGGGCTGGTCGCCGAGGCTGGCAGGGTGACGAGAACAGCCCTGTGCAGCTGCCTTCATTACTGAGGTAGGGGAACAGCCCGGGGTTAGCATTCTGTAGTGATCCTTATTTCTAAAAATTGAAAATATAGAGTAAATTGTTCAAAGCCCTAAAATAGATGCACTTTTTCTTTGTTTCTTCAAAACAATTTTTTGCAAACAATTTTTAAAAAAGCATTTCTACTGTTTCTAATAAGTTGACACAAAATATTTTTAATTTTCTTTTACTGGAGCACTATAATTGTACATACTAGTTGCATGCATTCTGACATCATTACACCTGCGTGGAACCTGATTTAGTCCACTTTGGTCCCCAGAGCCCCCCTTCCCTCTCCTCTTCCTCTTCTAGTCTACTGGTCTACCTTGCACTCGTTATATACATTTTAATTGGTGTTTTACATGTATACGCAAGGTGGGATCCACTGTGGTGTGTTCATACATGTGCGTAGTGTGGTTTTGCCAGTTCATCTCTCTCTCCTCCCCTTTCCCGTCCCTCTTCCTTCCCCTCAGTTCCCTCTTCTGCCTTGCTGACCTCCCCTGTGTCTTTACAATATCACCTGCCACCCCTAGTCCCCTTTGCTTGGCTCTAGCTTTCCCATAAGAGAGAGAACTTTTGATTTTTGACTTTGAGTCTGGCTTCTTTCACTCAACATGATGTTCTCCATTTCCATCCATTTGCTGGCAAATGTCATGATTTCATTCTTCTTTATGGCTGAGGAAAACTCCATTGTATATATATATACAATATTTTCTTAAAATATTCATCCATCAATGGGCATCTGGGCTAGTTCATTACCTTGGCTAATGTGCATGTGCTGCTGTAAATGTTGATGTGGTTGTATTGCTATAGTATATAATTTTAGTTCTTTTGGACAAGTACGAAGGATGGGATAGCTGGGCCATATGGTAGCTCCATTCCATGTTTTTTGAGGAATCTCCACATTGATTTTTCAAAGTGGTTGTTCTGATTTTTCATTCCCACTAACAATGTATGAGTGCGCTCTTCCCTACATCCTTGCCAGCATTGATTATTGTCTGTATTCTTGATGATTGCCGTTCTGACTGGAGTGAGATCAAATCTCAGTGTAGTTTTGATTTGCATTTCCCTGATTGCTACGGATGTTGAACTTTTTTTTTTAAGTATTAACCATTTGTGTGAAACATAAAATATTTTAATTTGCCTTTTAAATTCTATCCTGTAAACTGAAGCTTTTATGCATAAATGAGAATTTGATAGAATTACTTGGAAAGAAGAAAGGATAATGTAGAAAATAAAAGATAATGTAGAAAATATAATCAGTGGAAAGCAAATTTTTATTTATAAATTCCTATGAGGATAATCTAGCATTGTCAAACCATTTGGGTGAACTTTATGTTGAAAAATATTCCTAAGGTTTAAACAGTTTTCATTTAAATGATAGGATTTTCTTGTGCATTGATAATATCTTGTAGGAGCAGTGATACCCATCTCAGGTTGTGTTCCCTAAGGGAATGTGCCTACTTGCAGAGCATATCTAAACATTTTCCATAGCAGTATGGTATCCCAAATAATATTTTCACATGTCACTGAGTAATGGAAGCTTTGTAATGATCCCAGATGAGCAGAAATACGTACTTCCCTGCTCAGTGTTCATTCCGCACTCTGCGTGCTGAATATGTACGTCAAGCCAGCAGCCAGCAACGCCAGGCCTAACGATGCCACTCTTACCAAGGAGAGCCCCGAGGAGGACGAGAGGCTGTTCTTGCTGGTGACTCGAGTCCTCAGGGGCTTGATGATGCGCTCTCTCTGGGTCAGGATGGCTCTCCGGGCCCCATCCCATTTCCCTGGCCCCTGGAGGCGGAACTGGTATGGAGTACAAGGGCCGAAGAAAACCTCCATGGCCAGCTTTGGATCTGAGAGAAGGAGGAGCAGCAGGCTGGGCTTGACCCCGGCCAGGGAGGCGATCTCATCCATGTACTCCACGTGGTCCACCTGGATGGTGTGGCGGGCCGTCTTCACATACCTGAAACACAGGGCGGAAGTGAGGCCGGCAGCCTCCAGGCAGGCAGAGGATGGATTCACATCATCCCAGAGCCAAGAGGTTAGTTCTACAGCTTTAAGATGCAGAAACAGCTAGAAAGCCAACACACCCCACACTTCTTGGTATTGAGGGGCAGTGGCAGGGACTGCGCAGCCCAGGACACCTGTTCCTAGTGTGGGTGGTGTGGATCTGATGTCTGCCGTGGCAGTGCACCTCCAGTGTTTGGAAATAGTGTGTCTTAAGGATGGAGTTCTTTTGTCTCCTTTGCACAAGAACTTGTTTTGTGGGCTGACAGGAGCCTATGTGCACTGGCTGTACAACAGGAGGCGAGGGCAGCGTGTCTTTCTGATGTGACCTTAGAGGTGTGGGAGCGGGCACCTCTGCTGCATGAGTTGAGCACTCCTTCCATGCCGTGGGACCTCCCCAGAGTGGGAGTCAGCAGCCTCCACCTGTGCATGGAAGGCTGTTTCAGGTACAGTGCCTACAAGAAACAGCACTGCTGCCACTTCACATGGCTCTCCTCTTGCCTTTTGCACAGGCGAACTGGAAATGCTTAGTAACATGGGGTTTTAGTGAGTGAACTAGACACTTTCCATCTCTCCTTCAGAATTTGTCAATGAACAGTTTTCTTTGTGCTACAAAATTTGTGAACCTGTAGTGTATGTGTGTATTTGTATGTGTCTCTGTGTGGGGGGTGAATTTGAATGAATTCCATTTCTTTTTATGGACACCACACACACACACACACACACACACACACACACCACAGTGTCTTTAGAATCTTGACAAAAATGTGCAAGGTGATTGCTGGGTTATGGATTTGCATGTTGCCCTCTTCTTCCTTCCCTGTGTGAAGACATGCATAAGCTTTTGGTTCCCTTATTGCAAACAGTTTTTGTTACAAGACCAAAGAAATGCCTGACGTGCAGGAGACTCCCTCTTGGCTTGTTTCCTTCAACTCTTGGCTCATGAAAGAGAATAAGATGCAAGTCTCTGAGGCACCAAAGGAGGAGAGGGAGGGATTTCAGTGTGGGGAAGTCTGGGATGAAAGTCCAGGAACCCAGGCAGACTTCATAGGGAAGCTGCGTGGAGGTGTGGGAGTCTGGACCCCTAGCCCACCTTCCCCAGAACCCACCCTCAGCAAAGAGTCCTGCACCCTACTCGAGACAGAGCAGCAGAAGCCTCCAGACTGTAAGTGTGGCTCCGACTTGGGCCCCGCGGATGTCAGCAAGCAGAGCCACCTGGGGCAGTCCCCCCACTGCCACGCAGCACACGAGCCTCCTGGATTGCAGTGAGTCTTCAAGAAACACCAGTTCCCACTGAGGCTGAGGGAGAGGATGATTCTGAATTTAATGTGAATTAAAAAGAACAAATAAAGGTATTTACTGAAGAACTGAAGTGGGATGTTTTGTGCTGCACAACAATGTAGTGTAGGAAATGGAGAAAAATGGGGTTGAGTAGAGGAGGCACGAGTCTAGAGTCCCCAGTGAGGAACTGTAGATCCTGCAGAGGTCTCTGAGTAGCTGTTCCTGATGCTTCTGAAGCCGAGTCCTTGCCCCAGAGCTGTGGAGCAGGGGCCTAGGCGGGCTGGAGCGCAGGCAGTGAGCAGGGGCACAGCCCTACAGAGCCCGTCAGCCAGAGCCGGCATGAGGCAGGGCCTGCTGACCGGCACGTCCAGGTAGCCCGCCCAGGGGAGATGCCCACTCTGCACAGCAGAACCCCCTAGCATCCAAGATCCAACAGCCTCAACCTCTTGCTTCCCCACAAGCAGTGGAAAAATGGAAGTAGGACAGACCTGAATGGAGGTTCAGAGTCAGGGATTAACTGTAGTGTTGGTGCTTTTCTAACCCTGATTAGCACAAACTTGGACCAATAGCTTGGCCCAAGCGCTCTGTACACCTTAGACTAGCACACTCCACCAGCAGCCCCTTCTGAGTCTCTTCCTGGCCTTAGAAGAGTTTTGTTTCTATTCACACTTGAATAGATTCTACTCTTTCACTCCTGTCTTTTTTGTCCTGTGAATTCCACTCCTTGGATTTGTGAGGCAAGAACCCAGGAAGAAGTTGGAGGTGCACTGCTGAAGTCCATTGTGACATTGGGGAACAGCCTGCCACACCGAGAGCTGCCACATGCCACCCTGTGGTAGTGGAGAGGAACCCAGCTTTGCTGGCTGCGCCCTGGGAGCTGACGCCGGGAGCTTGCCTGCTGTGGCCAGCTGCTAATGCTAGGAGGGGCTGTGGAGGGCTGCAGCTCACACAGACCCGCCCACCCACCAGGCAGAGGATCGAGTTTTGTCTCAAACTCTGGTTTTACTTGACTTACCTTTTCTCCATTGCCCTCTTCCTCTGGGCAATGTCTGCCATCATCTTCTTGGCAGAGGGTAGTCTGCTCAGCCCTGCCAGACAGAATGCAGAGTCTGTCAAGATCTCTAGCAAGACAACCAGGGCCAAGAGAAGCGAGGGCAGGCAGGGTGAGCTGCCAGTCTCGCTCTGGCCTCTCCTCATTCACCTTTGAACACCCGGGCAGCCCAGCGAGACTGGAGCTCTGCTATGGGCAGCACGATGCCCAGGGGCTGGACGAGGCCAATGACGGCCAGTGTGGGCTTCTCCAGGTTGGGAGGGAACATCAGCTTATACAGAGACACCTCATTATCAGCGACTTCGATCAGCCCATCCAGGAAAGGGAAAGAAAAGCTGTATCCTGTAGCGAAGACGACAGCGTCAATGTTGCCCTCCACGGTGCCATCATCAAAGATGGTGTCCGTCTCCGTGAATTCCCTCACGTTGGGCTTCACCTGGACCCTGCCAGAAATGATGTGGTTCGGCAGGTCATCGCTGACGGTTGGGTGCTGGCTCAGAGGTCTGGATGTAGAAACAAAATTCCCAAGTGAGCAAATATACAGAAAGAAAGCACTGCATCTGGAAAGGAATCAAAGCCAGTGGTAGGCTTCCCCCAACCCTGCGCTGGTCCCCCATCTGCCTCTAATGGCAGCGGTGAGGATTTTGTACCCTAAGTGTGGTCATCTCAGTTCTACATTTTCTCATATATTTTAGCTTGAACACGTTTATATCTTGCAGTCTGTGCCATATAGTCCTATTTGCTTTAGTATTAAGTTATTTACACCTCTTAAAATTAGGAAAGACGAGGTTTGACTACGACTCCTTTGGAATACAAGTCTTAGTCTATTATTAGCCTTCCTCCATCTCAATCTCTGCTAAATTATCACTTGTCGGCAAATCAGTCTCCAGGCTAGAGGTAGAAAACACTTGTAACAATAGGCCATAACACTATCTGACACAGTATTTGCTAAATGACTAAATTGTTCAAGTAAGTACCCCAAAGGATCCATGTTTCAAAGGGAAGAAAAAGAAATGGGTAGGGCAAGATGTGGGTTTGCTGTGTGTGACTCTTCTCCCAGGGAACCTTGGCCTTCCCAAAGCTCCATTCCACAGATATCCATTTACTCTCTTGGAGGAAAACCATGGCACCCAACCGCTCTGCCCAGACAGTCTCTGCTGGAGAAGAGAGAGCTATGTGCAGGATGGTGAGGTCTGGACTGAGGAGGAGAGGCAACACAGTCTTCCTGTAAGATAAACATGGAAAAACCCTGATTCCCAGCGGTCTCTAGCCATCCCAATACAGTACTTTCTCATGGGCGTGTACAGATGCTGGCATCGACGAGCCTCCTGCACTCTCAGTCAGTAAAAGCAGAGCATGTACAATGCCACAGTGCACATTCCTTGGTAATGATAATAGGTGACCATATTTTATGCATTTCCTCCACTAGACCTAGCCTTAGAGAGTGCTCCTGCTTAGAACAAAGTCCATGTCACCAACAAGTCTTGTCCCACCTGCACAGGCCCATGGACCTTGTGTTTGCTCTCTTTCTACTGTGTCTATGAACCATGCTGGTACCTGGCTTTCTGTCACACACTTTATGATGTATGCACAATGGCAGATCCCCTGAAGATGACTTTCTCAGAACATGCCCCTGTCATGAAGCCACCTATGTCTGCACATAGAAAACCAGTGGAGCCAAGGTTGGCTTTAAGAACTTTCCAGGAAAGAGTTTTGTTTTTGCTATTGTGATTTTGTTCTGAGTCCACAGCTTAGTAGACTATCATAAGTATTTTTAATCAATGAGTCAATAAATGCCACATGCCTTTGCCACATTTGATGAACATTTGAGGAATTTCTGTTTTAGAATTGTCTTTAGAGACAATTAATTACTCATATAAGGAACATGAAATATTTTTTCTTAGTCTCTTTTCCATTGTTATCATAATATCAGAGACTGTAATTTATAAAGAAATAAGGTGAGCTGGGGATGTGGCTCAAGTGGTAGCACGCTCGCCTGGCATGCGTGCGGCCCGGGTTCGATCCTCAGCACCACATACAAACAAAGATGTTGTGTCCACCGAAAACTAAAAAATAAATATTAAAATTCTCTCTCTCTTTCTCTCTCTCTCTCTCTCTCTCTCTCTCTCTCTCTCTCTCTCTATCTCTAAAAAAAAAAAAAGAAATAAGGTTTATTTATCAGCTCATAGCTCTGGAGGTTAATGTCAAGGAACCGCATCAGGCGAGAGCCTTGGAGCTGGTGGGGACACAGCAGAGTGCAGAGGTGGCTCAGGCAATATGTGCTGCGACAGAGCAAGCATGCTAACTTGGGTCCCCTTTCCTCCCCTTATAAGGCCACAGAGCCATCAGGGACCCCAGCTTCATGACATCACCCAGTCCCGATGACCTCCCAAAGGCCCCACCTCCAGACATCATTGACACGTGACTGGGGATTTCTGGTACATGAATTCTGGGGCACTTTGTTCTGTTAAGTGTATTTTTTCATTCTGCTCTTTCTCTTTTCTTAATTCAACCCAGTGTTGACCCCCACTTCTCTTTCACCTTCTCACTGGAAGCTGCAGGCGATTTCTGAAGCTAGAAACCCTGTGGGGTGGCCTGCAGTCACAGGGGTGTGCCCTCAGAGCTCCTCTTCCAGGTGCACTTTCCTGACAGTTTCAAACGACATCAGCCCCACTGACCACGTCCTGTTGGGCCTCAGTGCACACTGCCTGGTGGCCATCACCGCACCGGTGGGTCTCCTTGCTCTAACATGCTTTCAAGTCTTTCCGACCCCACTAAACTTGACACCCAGCTGAGAGGAGGGGCAATGTTATTCTGTGTGTGTGTGTGTGTGTGTGTGCGTGTGCACGCAGCACACTTAGCAATCAAATTTTAAATGATTGCTGAATAAATGAGAGTGTGTATGGGGCGGGGGGGAGGATACTGGGAAATGGAATCAACCAAATTATATTGTTCTATGGTGTGCATGTACAAGTGTGTAACAACGAATCCCATTACTATGTATAATTGTAATGCGCCAATAAAAACTTTAGAAATAAGTGCTCATGTTTATGCGCTATATTCGCATTACAAGGGCTTTATGTTAATGAAGTGTGAGATTAAATGACCAAATGCATGTTAATTGCAAGAACTGCAGTTGTCCCTAAAGCAATTTCCCTTTCACACCCACACATGGCTCCATGCCCTAAGTCCAGGGTGTCACCTGTGTTGTGGCTGCAGGCCATAGTGAGCATGATTGAATCTTGAGTTCAGTGTCTTCTCCAGGTAGTTATTTACTAATGCTGTAGTAAATATCTTCTGGATAAAACTATTGAATCGAGTGATAAATGAGCTGTCCATAGGGTATCCATTATCCCAAACACGGTGCAAGATCCATGATCCCCGTCTAGTGCTGAGGAATACCTGAGGAGGGAGACAGAAAGCAAACCCACAGAGGAGTCAGAAACGTGCAGGATATTATTTTAGTAATGCCTCGCCCATCTCCAATTTTAAAAGCTTGACTTCCGAGGGTGAGGAAGGCAGACACTGTGCAGTGGTCACCATGCTGTGCTCTGCCAGAGCTGTGTACTAGTTTCCAGAAAGAAGTTGCTCCTGTGACACCAAACTTGTGAATGAAAATCAGAATATTTACTCAGTGGTCTGTATGCCTCTGGATGTTGTCTGTAGACTTGGATGTTGACACAGCTGTGCTTCATGCATGAATAAGGATTTGGATTAGAAATTAGCTATCATATTAACTACCATATACTTCTATATTGCTTGCTCCAAAATAAAAATAGACATTAAAAATTTTAATGAATCAAATTATTCAGAACTAGTGTCCACTGAACTGAACATGACCAGAATCACTTTTCAAATCTTTCTGTAAAGTATTTGTACATGATTCTTCATTCTGATGCAATTAATATTGTAGATTATTGGTGCTTTTGCACACATCAGATCATGATGCTGAATCTCAGTACTTACTGGTCCAGTCTGTAAAGTACAAGAGAAATTAGATGGGTGCAAGAGGCCAAGTATTTACTTCTTTACATTCTTGTGAAAATATTATCTTAAAAAACTAAATGCTTTGTATATTTGTTATCAGCAGTTTCTCCTAAAATGATAACAAAAAAGAAAAGTAAAATAAGTAAAGATGGAATATTGGAACAGTCTAGTGGGCATTCCGTTAATTAAGACTATGAAATGTGCTCAACAATAACGAATGCAAAATTTCTCTCTTCCCTCTAAATTCCAAATATTATTAATTTTCTGACAGAAAAGAATGTTGAATGAACACACAAATGAAGCTCTAGGGGGTAACTTGCTTTTGTACCAAGTGAAACATGCAGCACTTGCTGTTTCCTTCCGTCTTTCTCCATCAATACTTTTAGCTAAAGACCATCATATGTTTACCGTCGTCCCCAGTTCTCCTCTGTTAATTCCACCCCCCAAATCTGCTGACCCTGGGCGGACTTCTTTCTTCTGGTCCTTCCTGCTGGTTGAAGCCTATCAGGACCAGGGTCTATGGTGGTAAGTGAGGAAGGTCAGGTTATTTACTCCACACCTCCCTTATCTGTGCTGCCATCACCCACTTAGCCCAGTCCTCAGTGTCCGTCTGCGTGCCTTCCCCATTGGGAAGAGGAGGGGTCTAATTTGTACCCACCCTCCGCTATGCATGAATTCCAAGCTGTTGAGGCCAGGGCCTGGACTCCCTGTCTGTGTGGGCCCTTCACAAACCTGACCTAATTCTGGATGCCACCCCCAAAACACAGGGTTCCAGTAGTGAAGCCATTGAAAGCAAACACACCTGTTCAGCTACTCGACTGAGCTCCACGGCGATATCCACAGCAGAATTCCCCATGCCAACCACAACGATCCTCTTTCCTGAGAAGTCCTCGGGACTTTTGTATTCCCGACTGTGGAAATAGCGTCCTTTAAACTTCTCAATGCCTGTGGAGGGAGGAGAGAATGTTTCAGCGTGAGGAGGAATTTCACAGCCTATTCAGCACGTAGAGGAAGTTATGTTATGAGTGATCAGAGTCTGGGTGGGTGGATTGCACACCACCCTTTCCACCCTTTGTCCTAAAAATGTTGTGTGTGTGTGTGTTTAAATCTCACATTGCTCAGGGAAAAGGGGAGTAACCTCAGATGTAGAACCTGTGGATTCTAAATTTTAACTAATAATATTATGCAGAGTTTACTAAATAGTAAATCTATTTATCTTGCATCTGCCCAAAATGAAAGTTTCCAGTTGCACTGTGCTCTAGCTTTCTTCGTTTGTACTTTATCCTATTTAATCTTAAGCCGAATGCTGAATCTGTTGCTCCTGTACGGCTCTAAGGGAACAGAGGGCACAGAGGCTCTGAGGGGACAGAGGGGACAGAGAGAACAGAGGGGACAGAGGGAACAGAGGGCACCGAGGCTCTGGGGGGACAGAGGCCCTCTCTTCATTGGATGTCTCCTCTGTTCCGAGTGCCTAGAGCCTGGCTGGGCGGAGGCTCTCACAGCGGTCCCACTCCCTGCCAGCATTCCCAGGCTGCGTCACTCTGCACACGTTTGTGTCTCACCCCTGAACTGTGCAAACATGCACACCCACGTGTCTCCCCATGGGTACTCTTTCTCAGCCAGGAAGCAAGTCAAAAGGAGGCTGATAAGTGTGATAGTCCACCATCATGCCGTGATTATGGAGGATTTCCAGAATACGTTGCATTTTAGCATTCAGAAGGCCAAGTACGTTTATATTGCAAATGTTTGTGGGGAGACATGGTAAGGTTTGGTATTTGTCAGCTGAACAACCAAAATCCACGTTCAAGTTCTCGACTGAACTTGAATTCCCCCGTCTACTTTTCTTCAGTCCTCAAAGAGTTTCTCCTGAACCCTGGGAAGGCACAGAGGGCAGATGTGTCCTGGCTGGGTCCTGACGGCAGTGGGGGGATAGAGGGTGCCGAGCAGGAAGGGGCGAGGAGGCTGGGGAGGGGAGCTGAAGTGGGGTCCTGGGAGGCACTGCCAGGCAGAGGGGCGGGAGAGGCCGGTGCCCGCTGGGTTTCAGTCCCCAGGAAGGTCCATGCCGAGAGCGTTGGTGGAGGCCCTCTGTGGGCTCAGGGTCTCCGGCCCCTGGCTGCGCTTGCCATTTATCCCTTTTTAAATAATCGATTTCACTTTCTCTTAGAGTGAAATCAAACAAATACACATGAAACTAAACCACTTCCATGTGGCCACTTTATGTCAACCACGAATCTGAAGCTGCAGGAGACCATAGGAGCCAAGAGTGGGAGCTGCCTGTCACCCATTTCCTGTCTCGGGAGCTCCCCTGTCCCCTAACAGAGCGCAGCGCAGCCGTGGCTGTGCCCTCCCAGGGAAAGTGCACTGAGACTGACCGAATCCGTCCCGCCCTTGTGCCCCTCGTTGACAGGGAAAGCACTTCCCACCCAGCCTCGGCCACGCACCTGGGAAGGCCTGCAGTGGCAGGTGGGGGTCCGTGTGGTGCCCACTGCAGACCAGGACCCCATGGAAGAGCAGCGACTCCCGCTGGCCCTCGGCCTCCACCACCACGTCCCACTGTCCGCTGACGGGGAAGTCCGGGCACTTGCGCACGCTCTGCACTCTGGTCTGAGAACAGGCACAGGGGGACTCGCTGTCACTCCAGCCCAGTCCCTGCCCAAGCCCCAGCTCTGAGCAGTCACCCCGCGGTGCATCGGCGGCACTCCTGCCCTCCCGGCCCCTCTCCACGTTTCTGCAGCACATTTTCAGGATATTCTGAGTATTTCTCTAAAACCTAGTTTTCCGAGGAACAGAAACAGAGGAGCCTGGCTGTGGATGGAGGGAGGGTGATGGAGACACAGTGGTTCCTCCTCCAGGACGCAGCCGGCTCTGCAGGTTCAGCACAGACCTGTCCTTTCTCAGCATGTGCTCCTCCAAGGCTGTGCTCCTCCCTAGGCCTGTGTTTCTCCAGGCCTGTGCCCCCCAGACCTGTCCTCCTTTGGCTGTGCTCCCCCAGGTCTGTGCTCGCCCCAGCCTGTGGCTCAGGGTTTCAGAGAGGAACCAGGCTGCACCCAAGCAGAGGGGCTGCTCCCTGGTGGCGGGACTCGATGGTCCTGACGAACACCTTCCTTGTGAGAAGCTGTGGTCCCACTCTACAGGGACATGACTTGCCAGTCACGTTTTTTCACATTCTTACACATGTCGAATGTGAGACTGAAAGAGAGGGCCGTGACCGTGCCATGCTGGAGTGTCACCAGAACAGGCTCTTACAACAGAGCCTTGCAATCCCACATCCAAGTGAGAGGCTGAAAACCGTTTCATGACAAGCCGTGACCCTCCAGGGGACGCTCAGGAGGCTGGCTTCCTCTGGTCACAACAGAAGAGGCCAGGTTTAACTGCCCAGCCAGCGCCAGTGAGTGTGGGTGCGCACGTGCATACACACACACACACACACACACACGCGCACACAATGCAACGCTGTATGTTTACCTTGAAGCGAATGTATTTCAGGAGGCCAAAGTGGCTGGCGTACATCCTGAAGTACTCCATGAGTTTGGAGTTGTGCATGTAGTTGGGGAAATGGTCCGGTATGGGGAAGTCACTGAAGCACATCATCTCCTTGGACGTGTTGATGGTCACGGATTTGTAGATACTCGGCATTTTCTCTGAAGGGTTTTTCTACAGGAGAAAGTTTCTCTTAATATAATAAAATTTATAAGACAATCAAAATTAACTATCTTAAAGAGAAACGGCCTCCTATGTAATAAGTGGTACCTGGCCCTGTATTCTCTGTGTTCTCTAAGTCCCTCCTGCTGGAGCCAAGTTACCCTGAGTCAGCAGTAAGACCCCCAGGGACTTCTCAGTAGGAATGATGGAAGCCAGAAACATGCCTTTAAAATGCTAAAATAAGAACGTCCACGTCCACTTGGAAGCCCAGTGACACACCCTTCAGAAGTGGAAGTGGCTCACACGTCTCCTGACGAGGAAAGCTGAGGGTCTTTTGCGGCGGCCCAGCACCAGGGACAGTGTGGGGAAGTTCCTGGGCTGACTGGGAAGGGACAGGACTGAGGGGAGCAAGCACAGGGGGACGCCGGGGGCTGAGGCAGTGCCGCAGAGACTGCAGGCACCTGACGAACACCACTGATCCTGCTCATGGGGTTCCTAACAGACCAGGAAGGTGGGAAGGGAAAGGAGGCCACCCTGTTTTAAGATCCTTGCTTTGCTCAGAAAGTGGGGAAAGTACCCACAAAGTGGATAGCACTGTCAAGGTGCATTTATGATATCCAGGGAGCCATTCCCAAGAGAGTGAGGATGGACATCTAAAACCCAGTGCCCAAAGAGAACAGAGGATGGACCACACCAAGATACAACAGAAGAAAGAAAAGGGGGATAAACATGATAAAGGTATGAAACAAAGATGCAAGACAGTGAATCTGACCTCCACGTATTCATACCCCATGACATGTAGCCCTCCAATAACACTAACGGGAAAGGCCCCCCAACAGAGGCACACCTTCCTTAGGCCAGCTGTAAGAGAGAAGGCTGCACCAGAGATGCTTGCACGGGAGAACCCCAGGCAGAAGCCACGGGAGTGGCTGCCTTGGGAGCCAACCAGGGAGATAATGAGCCAGAGAGCACAGCGACATACAGGGCCATTCCACGGAGGTACAAAGATAGTACATTGAAATGAACCTGGTGGCATGGTTTCAAAATACATAAAGTAAAAAGTAACAATTAAGAAGAGAAACAAACCATATACATGGCTGGCCGGGCACCCAGTGCCTAATCCAGAACTGTCACACATGCACGTTGCCTCAGTCAGAATGCAAACAAGCTTGGGGTCGTTACCAGTTCTTCACCTGCAGAGTGCTATACGTGCCTCCTAGGCAAACTTTACCCTGGTTGTCACAGTTCGAGACAGCACAGCTTAAAGTCAGATAAAACCCAGACTTACTTGAAATTTCCACAGGCCTCCGATGTCGTCATTCCTTTCAAAGCAGGTGGGCTCCAGACCCTCATCCAGGCAGCACTTGATGGCAGCCAGTCCACTGATCCCAGCTCCGATCACGGCGACCCGCTTCCTGGCCATGTCCCCCGCTGGATGCGATTCTAAACAAACCATCTTGTCACAACGGTCTGCAGTTTGTTGCCCTAAATTGTGTTGTTCTCACTAACGTCGCGTATGGATTACCAGTGTGTTGATTACCTTTCAGGGGCTAGGAGAGATTAAGGCTAAATAAAAGCTGACTGGGAGTCTGGCTGTGTTTCAGAATTATTAGGGAGCATCGGTACTTAGCATCTCCGAGTCTGAGGCTGCAATCGCTCCCTCATTTTCCCCTTATTTGTCTGCTCCACAAACACTGGCTGGTTCTAAACTGTGCACCAGGACTGGGCTTCCCGCTGAGGTCACAGGAGGAAACGGCAGAGTCCTGTGCCCCGAAGCCTCAGTCGAATGGGGAGTCCTGCAGGTAAAGATGGAGACTTCAGGGCAGGTACTTACCTGTAAGCTGTATGTCAGTCTTGCTGAACACTCATGGCAACTGTGAGACCCAGGCCTTCTGCACACACATGCCAATTGTCACAAAGGTCCTCCCTTTCCCACTGGCTGCCTCCTGTGTGAAGCCCTCCCTGGACTTCTCAGGCATGCTTACACCATCCTTCTTGGTGACCAGTGACGGCCTAGATCTCTGTTAGTGCCTTTACCACATGCTTTTATGGTTTTGTCTTACACTGGTCGAGTAATAAGCACCTGGAAGGTTTAAGCTGCCTGGTTGATACCTAGTGAATATCCATGGATTGAAATGAGTGAATACATTAATTTCTAAGCTTATCTGTTTTTCAACTTGTTACTGTAGTTGGACATTATGCTATACAATTATAATCACATAACAAAAAATAGTGACCATCCAAAAATTTCCACACATAAAACAGTGTAAGGAAAAGATAAGAAACTAACCTTTGAAAAGAAGGAAATTCAAGTTTAGGTTCAGCTTTTCAATTAAAGCAGACAATAATGCTCCTCCTGTTTTGAAAATAAAGCTAATCTGCAGCAATGTGAAGACTTTTATAGCTTCCTGAATTAGCTAATGGATGAACCCTTCCCTTGACTCTTCCAATTTGGACTTAAAAATTGCCTTGAGCCTTTTAGGAAAGGAACCAACTGGTGTGCAGTGCATTTTGATGCCAATTAATGCAGTGTAAAGGCCATCATCCCACAAGAAATTGGCTAGAGAAAGCTGAACAAACATTTCAGGAAATAAGCAATGCTGTTAAATCACTAGTTCCAAGTAAAAATATTTTTATCAGTTTAGATATTCTCATGCTAAGAAAACTTTGTAGAAAATGAAAATAATATTTAGTTAATGCTGAAAATATAACCCTTAAGAAAAATCCAAACAGGTTGAAATGACAAAAAGAGATATATCAAACAATAAACTATAAAAAGAAAAAAAAAACTCTTCTCAATATCACTATTCTTAATATCTACTTACTACAGTACCTACTTTTGCTGTGGTGTTTTGTTGAGCTGCCCTTGGAAGAGAGACCCGTCACTCTGGCTCTGCCCACTCTGCAGAACGGGCTTCTACAGAGGCCTCAGTCTCTGGGGTCAGCATAGAATTCTGCTTACCCCAATTTCCTTCCCCACCTTCTGCGATCTGCAGTGACCCTGTAAATGCGTTTTACACCTTATCCTGACAGGACGACCTCCTGTCACTCAGCACGACCTCCTGTCACTCAGCACTCTGGGGATACCCAACAGCAGAGTGAAAACCTTGTGGTGGCCATGATCTCAACATGTGAACAGTTGACGAGTCAGAAATGAACAGAAGGCAGAAGGGCACCTGCACGGGAGCTCTTGACTCCTTATGTCCTAACGTCCCCAGTGACATCAGTGCAGCGCCCTACGGCGTAGCCCTCCAGGTGAGCTTTCCCGTGGTGTCCTCCTGGTCTGTGTGGCAAGCTGTGGGGGAGAAGGTGGGCCCACAGGTCTGCTGCATCCCCTGGAAACTTCGAGGGAGGGATTCTTGTTTGGAAACATGTCTTATTTTCTTACTTTTTCGGAGTTTGGTTTTCTTGCCTCCAAAAACATCGTTCAGCTCTCTCTCCATCTTTGGTGGACTCTACCCCGCTGAGGTTGTAAGTCCTGCAGACCCCCAGCCTGCTGGCTTCCCTGCTCCTGCCCTGGTATAGCACCCCTCCTCTGCGCTGTTTCTCTCATCTGCGGCCAAGACTCCTTTTAGGAAGTAGCTCCGGGGAGAGAAGGCAACATGGCTGTCACAGATGAAGACTGTTTAATGAAGCATTTACAAATCCCTTGTTTCTGAAATATAAAAAGCAGCAAACTAAACTTAAGTTGGAGAAGTGAAACTTGACTCCAAGTCCTTGGTATGGCAGAGAATGAACTTCTGTTCCTGCCCGAGTGGGATGAGTGAGTGGGCTTCCCACGGTGTTCTCGCCTGGATTCAGTTCATCCTCTCTTAGGAGGACCTTCTCCTGGTTCCGAGTCCGACACACCTGTAGGAACGAGCTCACTCTCACTACGTCTGAACCCAGCATCATGGGTGGCAGGACAGAAGTGAGCTACAGGTATGGACTGAAGGAGCAATCCGTGAACTCAGAGTTTAATCTCATGAGAAGAGCGGAAAGAAATAGCACGAGAGCGCATGTGTTTGAGGATGCTGTCACAACTACTGTGCTGTTCTGGTCACCATCACCGACACTCAGGAAGTCTTCTTGGAGTCACCTCTGGGCGCACTGAGCTGTCAGTCCACCTGGGGTGGAGCTTGTTTTGTGAAACTTTCTCTGAGTCTGCGAACCTCTCGGTCTCTTGTGTCTACACGTGTGTGTGCGTCTTTACACGCCCCTCTCTTCCATGGGATCCAGCAGGACCACAGAGCCCAGGCGGCTCCCCTGTGGTGTAACATGGAGGGGAAGGGACCTGAGGGTTTGCAGCAGTAGCCAGGGCAGGCTCTGCTCCCTGAACAGGCGGGGCTAGTGTTCAGCGCTCCACAAAGGCCTGTCTACGTTGCCCCCTCCAGTGTGACCTACCGCTGCACCTTGTGTCACTGGAAGGAAAGAGGCCCTTCTGGAGAAGCCAGGGAGACGTGCATCCCAGAAGCAGAGCCTGCTCGAGGCTTTGCGCCCAGGGCCTGCGCCTGTCAGCATGGTCTGTCAGCATCCAGGCCCCTGTGGTTTTCCCTGTAGCCCTCTGTGTCACATGTGACCACCCACCCAGTCCGGCCGGAGCCAGGCACTTCTGCTGTGATGGCCCCAGAAGTGCGGCAGTGCCCCAGCTGTGCCCTGCCTGGGAGAATCTTCCAGCATCCCCTGTCGGACCCACCTGTCATGTCCAGCCTGCTGCTGAGGACCCTGAGAAGTGCGTCTTCTCTGCTGATCAGGACATAGAGCAGAGGTTCCCAACTGTGGGGGACACAGGGTGTGCTGGGACATAAACCCGCAGAGAAGCATGGGAAAGGACGTAAAGCACAGCTTCCCAACTGTGTGGGGACAGGGTGTGCTGGGACATTTTGGCTCCTCGCAGTGCGTGCTGCTGGTGGCAGGGTCCTGGGGCTCCCGGGCCAGCCTCACTGAGCTCCCAGAAGCCTGGTAAGCGCCTTCTGCGTGCTGTAAACATGGCTGGTGGTGTGCCTTGGAGTGCTAGTGTCGGGAAGCCCTGTCCCAGGCACAGCCAGGTTGGACGTTCACTGCCATTTTGCCATGATTGTTCTAGAACACCTCTTGACAAGGGGCCTACAGCTCCATGTTCTTCCCCCTCTTCCTCCTCCCCAGAGGGACCGCCTCCTGCAAGTGGTGTGCGGCTTCCTGTGAGTGATGGTGTCACACATGCATGCAGGTGCTGTGCCAGTGGATCTCACCTGTAGGCTCCACCCCTGCAAGTACGTGTTCACAACTCACTTTCACTCAGGTCTCATACTTCTATAACTGAAGTTTGACTTACCTGCACTTTTAGAATCACTGATGTATTCTGAATTCTTGTTGCTGTATAAATTCGTGTTTTCTGTTTAACGTATCTTTTCTTTATTATAGTCTCCCATTCACCCTTCAGGTTACGGCATTTCTCTTTCAACACATGTTTTCCTTCTTCTGACTTGGGAGATAAAATTCTCTTTATACTTTTTCACTTATCACTCTTAAATTTTAACATGAATACACAACAAGGCAGCTAATGAATAATGTGAAAACCTCAGAAAACATCATTTCCAATTATGTTCACTGTTCCAGTCTTCACTTACTCCAACTTTATTTTCTAAAACTTTGTTCTCACCTATTAAACCTCCTTCTAGCTTATGATTCACATTACTTGTGGTGAACTGTTCATCAGGTAAACTGGCCACCAGTGTGTTAACACGGCTGTCTCTTGTGTCTTACTGTTTTCTTCTGAGTTAAATTTCCTTTACTTTGAAGATTTGCGTTAGACATCTTTCCAAGTCTTTCTAAGGATCTGTGAATAGTAAATTCTTAATCTTGGTTAAGAAAAGCAAGAAGCAAAAAGCAAAGCTGGGTTTCCCTGGTGAATTTGTCTGGCTGAGTTGAGGTTGGTTGACAGCGGCTTTTCCCTCAGTAAGGATTTTTCTCTTCTTTTTTCTATTGATAAGAAACATATCAATGTGATCATTATTACTTTGGTGATAGTGGCTCTTTTCTTCCTGTCTGTGTGTATTAATCTTTTTCCCTTTTGTCCTTAGTATTATGGATTGTCATTGTAATATGTTTGAGTTGAATTTCTTTTAAAACTTATTCTGCTAAAACCATTTATGCATCTGAGGATCCATGTTAAGAAATTCTGAAAGATTCTTTTTTTTTTTAATTTTTTATTGTTGGCTGTTCAAAACATTACATAGTTCTTGATATATCATATTTCACAATTTGATTCAAGTGGGTTATGAGCTCCCATTTTTACCCCATATACAGATTGCAGAATCAAAGATTCTTATTCGTTCCTCTGGTTGCTGGGTCTCGGTCATTCTCCTGATTCTGTATTTCTGAACGTTCTGCTGAACACACGTTTAGCTTTCTCACGCCAGCCCCACAGCGCCTTCACTTTTTCTGCAATGTGTTTATCACTTTATTTCTCATACTGCAGGGCAGCAGGGTGAGAGTAACCCATGGAGCCACCAGGGCTGGCTGCACTCGGCCACTCCTGCAGATGGCCACTCCTCGGGCCGCCTCAGGCCATCTCCAAGGTTCTCACAAGTGTCTGCCCTTCTTCTCTTTTTGGTCTTGTTTTAATTGGGGCCTTGTCCCTGTAGGTACTGATGGGCTCTCTGGTTGCATGTCTCTAGGCACACAGCGTCACA